AATGAAACAAAACTCTCAGAATGTTCCATCTCTTCATGGAGTCGAGCTGAATGTTCTCACAGACGAGATGTTGGAGTCATCTGCTCTGGTGAGCACATTCACACCACACTGAAGTCATGGGTTTCAGACTAAAACTACACATTTGAACAAATGTAGTATATTTTAGATAAATATTAAATGACAAATAAATACTCTCTCCAGGCAGTAAAGCTCATCAGGGGAACTGCAGCTCTTCACAAACTCTCAACTGCAGCTCCACACAACAGCTGTCAGTAAAAAACGTTGGTGAGAAATCAACATCTGGGCAGATTCTTTAGTTATTAGTGATCAAAAATATGTATGTACAATCACTGTTTTTCTGTCTCTGAATATCAGGTCGCGGGTCCATCAGGCTGGTGGGTTCTGGGGGAGACTGTGCAGGGAGGCTGGAGGTTTTTCACAGCGGCTCATGGGGGACAGTGTGTGATGACTCCTGGGATATTAAAGATGCCCATGTGGTGTGCAGACAGCTGCAGTGTGGAGTGGCCCTCAGTAACCAGCAGGTACCAGCCTGGTTTGGTCCTGGTTCTGGACCCATATGGCTGGATGAGGTGGAGTGTGAGGGGAATGAGACGTCCCTGTGGAGCTGCTCTTCTCCAGGCTGGGGAAAACATGACTGTAATCACAAGGAGGATGTTGGAGTCGTGTGCTCAGGTAAACAATAATGTAAATAATTATTTTATTTAAACTTTTCTAAACTACTCACTCGTCCACACCGGAACATAACACTACTGAATCTACAGCACAAAACACGCAGCGTGACCAATCTAACCCGATTCCCAAACTAAACTCTATAATCAGTCAGTTCTTTTTAGTGAATCACAGACATACAGCTTACAGCTAATTTTGAGATTTAAATCAGTGTAGTTACAGACTGGATGTTAATATGACAAAGTGCAGCTAAAGATATGCATTTTGCATTTGGTCAGTATTAGTATTTTATATATATTAATGAATTAAGTATTTTTGTTTGTTTGTTCAGTGTTGTTTTTTATATAAAAATTAATGGAACTATTAATGAACTGTAATCGTTAGGATTAATCAGAATAATTGAAGCCTGTATAATTCAAATCACTAATTAAAACACTGTCATTCCGTGAGAGTTGAGGTTGATTCTCATCCTTTTCCATCTAGATTTTAAAGAGATCAGGTTAACTGAGGGCTGTGAAGGGAATGTGGAGGTTTTCTAAGTGTCCATCTTCACCCTGGGGACAGAATGACTGTGATAATGAAGTTGCCAAAATCACCTGCTCAGGTCAGATGATATTAACTGATTTAAGATGATTTGAAATTGTCATGTTTTGTTTGTTTAAATATGATTATTTTTTAGTCTTAATTATTTTGTTCTATTCAGTGGTAAATTACATTTTAACATGTTTTATTCTCAGAGGATCAGACACGCGAGTCTCCTCAGAGTCTTCTGACATGTTCTACCTCACCATCTCCATACAAGAGACAGTGTTCAAGTAAGTTTATTATGATTTTATTTATTATTATCACAACTTTAAACTTTGTTGTGAATGTTGCTGGTCAGTGCTGGTTGATGTGTGTGTTTTAGATCATGTTCCTCTCAGACTGAGTGGAGGGGAGGGCCGGTGCTCTGGGAGGCTGGAGGTGTATCATAACGCTGTGTGGGGCTCAGTCTGTGATGATCAGTGGGACATCAGCGATGCTCAGGTGGTCTGCAGGCAGCTGGGTTGTGGAGCAGCACTGAGGGCTGATGGGAATTCAGTCTTTGGTGCTGGTGAAGGTGTTGTGTGGCTGAACAGAGTCGAGTGCAGAGGGAATGAGATTCACCTGTGGGACTGTCCTCTCTCCCTGAAAAACCACACTGACTGCTCCCACAAAGAGCACGCTCGACTCACCTGTGCAGGTCACAGCAAACACTGGAGTATTATTTATTTTATTATATTTTTATGTATTCAAGACAATCATGAATTTGAATGTGTTTGTCTGTTTTGACAGATGTGCCGGTGTCCTCTACTCCTGCCACAACATCAGCTTCTCCTCCAGTTTCTCCTCCACTGCGCTCAACATCAGTCTCTCCTCCACAAACTCCTCCAGCAGCATCTCCCCCCCCTCCCCCCACTCCAGTGCTTGTGATTGTACTGGGAGTTGTGCTCTTACTGCTCTTAGTGCCACTGCTTATACTGATTCAGCAGAACAGAGTGATGAGGAGAGGTAGGAGAGATCCAGAGACTGTCATATTGTGTCTTATTCAGTGTGTGATCAGTCATGTGTTGTGAACTGACAGCAGGTTTATCTGTCTACACTCACAGCTCTCTCTAAGAGGAGACACAGGACGACGACTGAAGCCGTTTATGAGGAGATTCAGCACAGACACAATCACTTCACTCAGAGGGGTGAGACACGAGCCATCAATCTCATTTAATAGCATTAATAAGAGAGTCTGTCAGACAGTTGATGTTCATCTATTATTAGTCCTGCTAAACCTCCTGCTTCAAACCACAGAATTCCTGACAGAAAACCACAGAGCTGCAGGTGCATGTTTATATATGTGTGTGTGAGTGTGAGTGTGTGTGTGTGTGTCTCTTCCTGTGAGTATTTTTAGATTGTCATAAGGAGGCGTTCATATATTTTTAAGTGTAGGTGCAGGTGTGTGTATTTCTGGAAGACAGTGAGGAATGGGTTAATGTGAGGATACTTGTGTGTTTGTTAATAGGCCTAACAAAAAAGGAATCTGCCTATAATGCTTTTAAATGTGAATAATTAATATTTGTGCTGTGTTGTCTACTTTATGATTAAGGAAATGAGGATTCAGTCTGTTTGTAATGATGAACATGTTTCTGACTGCTCTGCTCTTCTTTAACAGGGAGTCTCATCTCTGAAGAACTGCATTCTGGGTATGAAGATGCTGATGAGCTTCTCTCAGGTTAGAGAGATGAAGCACACATTCACTCCACATTACACTCAAATCCTTTTTAAAGAATGCACCTAGATAAATAAATAAATAAATAAATAAATAAATTCTGTTACACATTTGATCAATGACTTAATACTATTCAAATACTCTTGCTCAATTATATATTAACAGTTTTCTCTCCTTTTTAGCAAAAGAGTTCAAGACTTCATATTATGATGATGTCACTAATGGCAGTGGCCTAAAAGGTCAGTGACTTTTCTAATTGATCACATGATTCATTACCAAATGTTTAATAAATTCTCATGATCTGCAACAAGAAGATATTTTGGCTTTTGTATCCAAACATATTGTGTGTTGATGCAGAAGAGATGCTGAAGGAAATCACACCGGGATACTATGATGATGTCATCACTGATGGACTGAAACCAGATCGTGAGACAGGTGTCCCTCTCTTACTCTACAACAGCATATAATATACTTTTAAATTAAAATATTACAGTATGTTTAAGATAGATATTTCAGATTTGTTCTGAATGTAATGAATGTGTGTTTGTGATGAATGTGTGAATTTGTAGAAGACACACCTGAGAGCTATGATGATGTCATGACGAGCGGACAGAACTCTGATTTCAAAAAAGGTGTTTTACTTTTTAGCAACTTTTAAAAAATATTCCTCTAAAATCAAGATTGTTAGATAATACTTTAAATTACTGTCTTAATGTTTTTTTTTTGCTTATATTTAATTTTGAGTCATATTTTTATGTGCAGTGGACACACCAGAGAATTATGATGATGTCATCATTAATAGACCGAGCTCTCGAGGGGTAACAGGTGAGATGCACAGAACTACTTTTTTTTTTTAAATCCCCCTTCGCATGTTTACATGAGTATTGAAATGTGCTGAAGAAAGCTGGCTGAGACCAGAATCTAATTGCAGGAGTTTAATAGAAGTAAACAACAGAACAAACAGGAAAATGGGAAACAAAAAACACAAGGAAGAGAAACACGGGCAAAACAAGCACAAATACATTCAACAGCCAACAAAACACAAAGGAAACATAAGGGCTATTTATACACAGGAGAACAGAAGTGATCAATGAGTTACTATGGGAACTAACAAGCAGATGGGTGTGGTCAAGTGAGTGACTGTAGCAACTAATGAGGTTAACTATGGAGACAAACAAGGCACACAGCAGACAGGGGCAGAAAACATGTAACAAGAATCAGGCCCTGTCCACACGAACACGGGTATTTTCAAAACCGCAGCTTTTTCTGTGGTTTGGCCGTTCATCTACACGCAAATGCAGTATCAGATCACTGAAAACTCCTGCCAGGCTGAAGATTTTCAGAAACTCCGGTTGCAGTGTTGTCATGTAGCCGATGAAACCAGAGATTTTGGCTTGTGGCATCGGAGCGCACACTTTTTTCAGGCTTCTGATTGGCCAACATGGCTTTTTATGGTTAGGGTTATATTGCCACCTGTTGGTTTGACATGCTCTTGGCAGCACTTCATAGTGTGTTTTTGCGTTTTCATGTGGACAAGATTGTTTTTTAAACGAAGAAGGAAAAACACGGGTTTACAAAAATACCCGTGTATGTGACTAGGCCTCAGACGTGTTCTGTGTAATCAGTTCACTGAAGGGAAAATGAATCCTTCAAATGAGAACGTATTTTATAAACTGATATGAGATGTTTTTATGTCATTCTTGATCAGAGGGAGTTCAGGAGGAGTATGATGATGTGATGAGTGTCAGTGAAGATGTGAGAAACCTGTTGGGTAAGTTACTATAACCCTTTTGTTCTCATTATCTTAACATTATTTTAATTTAGTTAATATTTTCCAGTTTTTTTTAGACTTTTAAAATATTTATCCAATAAGAACATTTGACCTGATTTAATATTTTGTATTTAATAACAGATTATGATGATGTGGAGGAGGAGTCAAACAAAGAAGGGAGCCATTTGGCTCAATGATCTCACCCACTGCCTCAGTTCAACACATCTGAACAAAGTTTTAGTGATGTTGATATTGATATGTTAATTCTCAGGTTTTTCTGGTTTCCCCTCTTTTTTGGTATTAAACCTTTGTGAGATTTGTATTGTTTTTGGCATTGTTAAAATCAATAAAAACAACAGACAATTTTGTCTAGTATTCCTGTATGATGAACTGTGTATGGTCATAGATATACTTTATTATCTTTTTTAATGACCTATTAACATACTATGTACTAATATATACTGTGTACCTGTACCTGTATGTACTTCTGAATAACAGTAATTAAAAAACAAATTTTAAAAAGTACATGTGATTTTATAACTAACATGGACTCAAAGCTATAAATTTATAGTTTATGTGAAGTTTTTCTTTTGTTTATGTTCACTTAAATTAAAAGTTGTTATATTTTTTAAAGCTTATTAAATGTTGAAAATAATAGCTTTCAATTATTCTGTAATGTTGAATGGCTATAATTAATGGCTATAATTGAGGGAAAATGCATTCAATACAGACATCAGTGCAGCAATATTGGTATACTGGTCTTTATTAATGATAGTTTACTTAGTAAAAACTCATATTTAACTTTATTAAACTCATTTAAAATATATAATCTTTATGTTGTTTCTACATTAGTTTGGAGATTCAATGTGAAATTTTAACAATATAAAAGTATTATACTATTATGCAATTAATTGTGATTACAGCATTTTTTTTCCGATTGACACTATTATGACAATGTGTACAAAACAGGAATGAATGGCTCAAAACTCGGAAAATAGCTGTTTATTTTTACTTATATTCTGAATAAATTTATAAACAGTCCTTTCGTGCACGAGTTCTGTTAAGCCGCCTGTCATGAAGCGTTCGCTCTCCATACCATTTCTTATTACTCTCTCTGAGCAGTGAAAGCAGATTCCGTTTCAAAATAAAAGTCCCCCATAAACAACGGAAATAATGCGATCCTTAGACAATTTTTAACATACAAAATATATCAAAGGCAACACAAACATGACTGTAGTGGTTGAAGGGGTCATAGGATGCTACATGCACTTTTACAAGTTGTTTGAACTGAAATGTGTGTTGGCAGTGTGTGTACACAACCACCCTATAATGATAAAAATCCACCCAGTGTTTAAAAAAAAAAATCTGGTTAAATGTTTTCCCCTTTCTCAAATCGAGCCGATCTCAGATGACTGTCTGTGTGATGTCACAGAGACAGGCCCCTCCCTCGCAGTGGATTACATTGTTTCTGAAGGGAATGTGCCCCTGATCTGCCTAAATGCGTCTATGTTCACGCAAATCTTTCATGATCCAGCCTCATCTACAGAAGTGAGTATAATGTTTTGTATCCTATGACCCCTATGATAATCAGAGCCAGTTAACAAGAGTGGATGAGCTTTGTCAAGGGCAGAATAGGCAGTCCTCTGAGATGGCTGTACTTGTAGGGCTTTGATGGGGTAAGTATGTTCTACCAGTCCTAGCTGATGGTCGTTGCGATTTTGCCAAGTAAGACATGTTCCTGGATCAACATCTTTTGTTGATCCTGGATCAACATTACTGTCCAAAAATACAGACTAAACCCAATCCCTACCCCTAAACCTAACCGTACCCATAATTTATTCCTAAAATCAGAGGGAAATGATAGCTGATTAACAAGGGTGTAGAAGGAATCCTGATTGTAAGCCTACACTGTTAAAAATTTCCTGTAGAAATGACAGTAACTTACTGGCAGCAGTTCGCCAGTAACTTACTGTAAATTAAACTTACAGTAAAAATACTGTATTCATATTTACAGTACCATTTAACTTGCTGTAAATGTATTTACAGTATGTACTGTACTTTTACAGTTTTTACTGTAAAATATACGGTAATTTTATGGTCTTTTCTCCAGTAACATATTGAAATACAAGAAAAAAATATATATAATTTAACTGAAAATAAGCAATGACAACTGTATAACTTTTAATTTTTTAATTGTTCAATTGTAATCCTTGCAATAACATTTTAATATTTTCACAGATTCAGTTACGACTCAAACAAAACATTGTTACAAACTACTATATACATTACATACTATTCTAAGTATTATAGTTAGAAAAAATTCTTCAAATTTATCCTAAGCACAACATATTATGATAATAGTGAATAGTGACGATAGTGAATCTTCAAAAAGAACTCAAACTTTTGTTACACACAAGAAGCATGGACTATTTTTTTTCAAAGCTTTTCTTCTTCTTCTTCTTCTTCTTCTTTCTCCAAAAAGAAAAAAAGCCTTTCTGTCATTGGTCAGGTTTCGTGCTCTTTTTTTTTTACTGTATTTGGATTTACAGTAAATGAAAAATACTGTATTTTAATGGCGCCAAGAGGATATTTCCCATAATGCAACTTTAAAATACAGTAACGTACTGTATAACTGTTTTACAGTAAAGTACAGTTCATATTACAGTTAAATACTGTGTAATTTACAGAAATCGCTAACAGTGTAAAACTGTCATGTCCTGAAAAGTTATCTCTCAATTCTGATTGGTTGATTGGAATGATGTTCAACATGTTGTACTTGGTCAAATCACGCTCACCCTAGCTGATCTGCTGTGAATAATCTGTTGATCTTAAAGACCGTTTTGAAGCTGACAAGCAGGAGAAATGGAGAAGGAAACTGAATTACCACGTATGACCTTCATGTGCTGTCGAACTGTTCTCAGTACCAGGTCCTCTGACTTCCTGCAAAGATTCAGTTTCTAAGCAGCAGTCTGAAGAAGGATTGTTCGATTGTTACTGAATGAAATGTAATTTAGCGGATTCACTCCTGTGTTTAAATGCGGTTGTCACTCTTGAAACTTTACAGTGTGTACATAACTTTACATAGACTTTACAATACAGAGTGAACTCAGACTCACACTCTGCCTGTAAACATCACCGAAAGGAAAATGTAGATGCAAAGAGACAGTATGAGTGACATGTAAACCAACCAGTTATTTCTTAATGCGGTGTTGGGTTTAATGGGTTGGGTTTAATTGAAATGTTATGCAATGCTTAATTATTTTATTATCCATCTTTATTCAATATCTGTTTCACTGTTCACAATTTGTGTGAAACTACCGGTAATATATTATTATTATTATTATTATTATTATTGAAATACAACAAAACTACATTTTCTTTTATACTAAAGTCTATGGAGGTTCATTTTTCAATGTATGTGCAATACAGAATGCAGTACATGGCTCTCTCTGCTGGTCACAAGGTGAGCTAATAATCTTCACTTTTTTTCTTCACTGCGTTGATGATTATGGGTTTTGTGGACCAACTGAAAGAGACAACTGTTATGCAATGAAGTCAATTTCACATGAGTCACAGGAATTATTTTGAGATATAGATAAAATGTGCACTTTGCTCTTGGTAAACTTTGAAAAGAAAAAAGCTTTTTCATTCTTGGTCTTGAGTTGAGTTTTGTTTGTGTGTTAATGTGATGCTAATATATGTAAACATTAACAGACAATGTTTTGGACATTCAGTTATCAGTGCTTTTATCTTGTCACTGCAGGTGTTGATGCTGTAAATAAACTGGAGAATTTCCTGTCTCCTGTAAGTATCGTGTGTGCATACATCCCCTCAGTGAGGCATCTTGATGTAGTATGTGTGGGTAGGAGGAGTTCATCAGCACTGACAGCTTTGATGTATATATTTATATATGGTGAAAGTCAGAAAAGCGTCCTCTGATTTGTCACTGAAGTTGTTTGATGATTTCCTCTGTTGTGTCTAATAAGGTAATAGCGAGTGTGATTGGAGGGTGTTGGGCCTCTTTCTCTCTCATTAAGGAGGCTGAGTGGATTCCTGTATTTCTGTATCATCAGAGCGGAGAAGCTTGTACACTGGGTGTTGAGTTAATAATGCTGAGGATGAGGATGATGGGGAGATGCTTGGCACTCATTTTACTGATTTCAGTGGTAATGCTTACCACAACTGGTAAGTACATTTGAAATTTAAAAAGTTATTTTTAGAAGGGGTCGGGATTGTGTTCTTTAGTCACTTAAAATTAAACTGTACTGTAATGTGTTGTTTTAGATGACAGGGTAATTGCATTTGCACAGTATGTTGAATTTGATCCTGTATTGCTTAGCAGGCAGTTTATCTCTCTATTATTTCTCTCTCTCATGGAGTCTCAAAATAATGTTAATATCCATTATAAGCACATGTCTCGGTCCCTCGAGTTGGATGGCAGTGAAATTCATAGCACATTTGGAGTCACTAGAGTATCTACGACGATACTCTGATGTGATAAACATTCATTTGGAAAAATCACTGACAGACATGTTAGTTTGAGTCAGTCCCATGAAAATTGTTACCAAAGAAAAATTTATCATTCCTTGATTAATATATATTATGTTGTGGGGGTGGAAATATTAAAGTTGACATCATCGTTTTGTTTTCCACAAAAATTTATTTCTTGTTCCTGCTTAAATATATATTGATATACACACACACACACACACACACGCACGCACAAAATCTGGCTTAAAGTGAGACAGTCATTTTCAATAGAAGTGAATGAGGGTCAAGCTGTAAACCTTAAATACTAAACAATGTGTGTTAACATGATTTTAGTGTAAAAATGCCTGACTATAGCCTCAAATTTGCTTTTCTTTTTAAAGTAGGGAGGAATAAACATGAATTTTTATGCTAACATACCAAAAATGATGTTGATTGAGCTCAACTTGAAATCTGAATATTCATTTAAATTAGGGATGCACCGATACTGAGCTCCTGTACTCGTACTCGTTAAAATGCCCCCCGATACCACACAGCATGTGATAAGTGCCATATTCAGACAAAGAAACTCTGAGTTCTTGTCATATTTTATTACCATGTTCTAAACTATAGCGAATAAACTGTGAAAATGTGAGAAATGTTGAAGGTGTCTGAATATTTTTTTTTTTGACTGTATGTATTCGATAAATTAAGTTAACCAACTAACATTATACATACTCTTTTGGTTTCTGTACCCAATATTTAAAAAATGTACAAATGCAATAAAATATTGGTATCGGTACTCGGTATCGGCAAGTACCAAAATAAAAGTATCGGTATCGGGCGAGTACTGGAAAAAGTGGTATCGGTGCATCCCTAATTTAAATATTCAGACATATGTGTCCCAATTTGTGATTCTTAAACTCTCTCATCCCTTCATCTCTCTCTCATTGTCTCTGTTCAATATACAGACAGTGTGAATGTGAGGTTGGTTGATGGTCACAGTCGCTGTGCTGGTACAGTGGAGGTTCATCATAGAGGTCAGTGGGGAACAGTGTGTGATGAGGAATGGGATTTGGCTGATGCTGCAGTGGTGTGTAGAGAGCTGGACTGTGGAGAACCTGTAGATGCTCTGGGTGATGCTCATTTTGGACCAGGATCAGGACCAATCTGGATGACTTTTGTCTTGTGTACTGGATCAGAATCTACACTGAAGAACTGTGGGTCATTTGGATGGGGTAAAAATAACTGTGATCATTCTAAAGATGCTGGAGTCATCTGCTCAGGTAAAGTATTTTACATATTTTTTATTCATATCTATATAAGATTTTTGTGCTTCCATACTGACTTCTAAAGAAGTTGATTTAAAAATGTTGACAATAATAAATAGTTTTCCTTTTGTATTTTTATATTATTTATTTATCCAAAGACTAAAATGATGTATAAATCATGATCTTGAGGATCCATAAATGTTTTTTTTGTTTTTTTTTACTAATCTATGTTTTTTTTAATCTGTGTCCTTTCAGAAGTCAGGCTGGTTGGAGGTTCTCGCTGCTCTGGGTGGTTAGAGATACTTCATGATCAGACGTGGATGTCAGTGTGTGACGCTGCCTTTGACCAGCAGGATGCAGAGGTTGTGTGTAGAGAGCTGGACTGTGGGGCTCCTGTACAGGTGCTGGGAGCAGCTGCTTTTGGCAAAGGAGACACTCAGATGTGGACACAAGAGATTCAGTGCAGAGGAAATGAGTCTCAGATTCACCTCTGTCCAACATCACCATCAGTCAAAAGCAACTGTTCTCAGAAACACATCATTGGTTTGCTGTGTGCTGGTAAGAGTTCACAGTACAAAAGACCTTAGTCTGGGTTGGGCATATTTAATGTTTGAGGAATGACAGGAATCTATGTTAAATTCAATATGGCGTCTAAACTGATTAAGGTCTAGAGCATATTTTATTTTATTGTAAAATTTTAAATGGATTATTAATTTTTCTATTGCTCTCTCTTACAATTAAAGACAAAATAAATGTGAGGTTGGTTGGTGGTCACAGTCGCTGTGCTGGTAGAGTGGAGGTTCTTCATAGAGGTCAGTGGGAAACAGTGTGTGACGGTGGTTGGGATTTGGTTGATGCTGCAGTGGTGTGTAGAGAGCTGGACTGTGGAGAACCTGTAGATGTTCTGGGTGATGCTCATTTTGGATCAGGATCAGGACGAAGCTGGATAAAAAATGCATTGTGTACTGGATCTGAGTCCTCACTTAAGAATTGTGGATTTGTACCACTGCTTTATCATGACAGCTGTCTTGATAAAAATGCTCAAGTCATTTGTTCAGGTAAGCTAAGAATCCTTTTATAGTACAAAACAGTTGCACCAAATACACTTGTAATGTAATTTTCGACCTTCTCTTTGACCATACATATTTTTGGCCTTGTTAAAAATAAACTTCAGCAGCTTGTTTCTAACTCTACGTTCTAATGTAATAAATGTAGCAGGTACAACAAATAACACTGCAAGATTTGGTGGAATACCCCACATTTTACTGATAAATTTCGTTTTTATGTTGCTTAGGAATAGTAGTATATATTCTATTTCCTCCTTATTACCTCACTGTGACTGGGCAGACCAATTTTCTTACAAACAGACATGTTTTCTAACAAATAGACATGACATGAGATCATTGACATGAAAATGTGGCTGGTCATGTGTATTCAGATATCTCACATACATAGTAAATATCTATTTTCAGAGGATGAAGAAAAATATGATTTTCAATAATGTTTTTTTTTTTTTTTTTTTTACATTTCTTATGATTGGTATATGAATCAATATTGATTCATATACCAGTCAATATACTGTAACCAGTCAACTTAAATGTTGCTCTTTCAGAAGTCAGGCTGGTTGGAGGTTCTCGCTGCTCTGGGAGGTTAGAGATACTTCATGATCAGACGTGGATGTCAGTGTGTGACACTGCCTTTGACCAGCAGGATGCAGAGGTTGTGTGTAGAGAGCTGGACTGTGGGGCTCCTGTACAGGTGCTGGGAGCAGCTGCTTTTGACAAAGGAGACACTCAGATGTGGACACAAGAGATTCAGTGCAGAGGAAATGAGTCTCAGATTCACCTCTGTCCAACATCACAATCACACGAAAACAATAGTTCTCATTACAATGATGTTGGGCTGGTGTGTGCAGGTTTGGTCCTTTTTTAAATAAACTGAAATAAAATTTTAAGTTCCTAAATATAGACTAAATATTAGTTTAGTTTCACTATAGTTTTTTTCTTTTTTGAAACTCCTTTGAAACTTTTTTTAATACTTTTTTTTTATTCCCACTCTTTTCCATTGTATAGGCAATATTAGAGTGAGGTTGGTTGATGGTAACAATCCATGTGCTGGTAGAGTGGAGGCTCTTCATAGAGGTCAGTGGGGAACAGTTTGTGATTATGGTTGGGATATGACTGAAGCTGCAGTGGTGTGTAGAGAGCTGGACTGTGGAGAACCTGTAGATGCTCTTGGTGGTGCTCATTTTGGACCAGGATCAGGGCCAATCTGGTCACATTTCAAGTTATGTAATGGATCAGAGTCAACACTTAAGAACTGTATATCAGCAGAAGTGTTTTTTTATGACTGTGATCATACTAAGGATGCAGGAGTCATCTGCTCAGGTAATCTGGCCCAAACCTCATCCTATTTTTACTGATGATCCACCTGCCTCAGTGCGTAGTTCACCCAAAAATGAAAATTATTTCATTATTTACTCACCTTCATGACTTTCCCGACCTGTATGACTTTTATGACAGTACACTACTGGTCAAAATTTTTTAATGGTTTTGACAGAAGTCTTTCTGCATTTGATGAAAAATACAGTAATATTGTAGAATATTATTACATTTTAAAATAACAGTTTTCTATTTTAATATATTTTAAAATATAATTTATTCCTGTGATGGCAAAGCTGAATTTTCAACAGCCATTTCTCCAGTCTTCAGTGTCACATGATAAAAACATGTCAATATCCAACAGTTGTGCTGCTTAATATTTTTGTGGAAACCGTGATACACTACCATTCAAATGTTTGGAGTATGTAAGATTAAAAAAAGAAAAAGAAAAGTTTTATTTAGCAAAGATCCATTAAATTGACCAAAAGTGACTGTAAAGACATTTATAATGTTACAAAAAATTTCTATTTCAAATAAATGCTGTTCTTTTGAACTTAATATTATTGAAATAATCCTAAAAAATGTATATATATATATTTTACATTCAGAACATAGTACGATATAGCTACAAAATATCACATAAGAGTGCTCTTTTTAAGAATTTTACATAAAAGATGACATAAATTTAATGAAGTTCCGAACGTAGGTTTGGGAGGAGCCTAATCATTCAGTCCTGTCAATCATCATTATGAGCGTATATAAGCAGCAGTCGTTGTGCCATCCCAGTGACAATTCTTCCAGCATCCCTCCACCTCCCCATCTCCACTATTTCTGTCATTCTCCATCTCTGTGTAGTACCGCAGTAGGGGGTTGAACTCCGAGCTCAAGCCAAGCCTCAGGTTCGATCATCTGTCGAGGACAGCAAGCCAAGTTTGTTTACCATTAACTATTAAGATTGGATGGGCAGGGGAACTTGTGAAATAAGGTCAGAACAATTGCCCTTATGAAGGTAAAAATACCCCTGGAAATCAAGTTAAAGTGACCTACAGGAGTACAAGAACATGCTAATAATAAGCAATTTTACAAACATTTTTGAAGAATGTAATTTTTTATCAATATTGCACAGCCCTAGTTTGGATTGCCATGAGAGTGGGTAAATGATGACTTCTTTCTTTCTTTCTTTCTTTCTCTCTCTCTCTCTCTCTCTCTGTGTGTGTGTGTGTGTGTGTGTGTGTGAGAACTAATCCTTTAAATGAACCCTTCTTAAATCAGCTGAATATTTTACTTTGATTCCTTTTCACTGTAAATGTTACTTTGTGGTTGACCAGCAATGACAAGCATTACGCATTGAGATAACAAAAGTGTATGAAAACAATTGTCAATTGCTTTAAAAAAAAATTTTTTTTTAAACGTTTCTTCTCTTGTATTACTTCAGATGTCAAGCTTATTGGAAACACCAGTTGCTCAGGGAGGTTAGAGATACTTCATGATCAGACGTGGATGTCAGTGTGTGACGCTGCCTTTGACCAGCAGGATGCAGAGGTTGTGTGTAGAGAGCTGGACTGTGGGGCTCCTGTACAGGTGCTGGGAGCAGCTGCTTTTGACAAAGGAGACGCTCAGATGTGGACACAAGAGATTCAGTGCAGAGGAAATGAATCTCAGATTCACCTCTGTCCAACATCACCATCACATGAAAACGACTGTTCTCATGATAATTACCAGGGGCTGCTATGTGCTGGTGAGAATTAAAATAAGACGTATTATTAAAAATACCCTACTTTTATTTGTAGCCTCTCTCTCTGTATTCTTTTGTCACTTAGATAAAAAAAACGTGAGGCTAGTTGATGGTCACAGTCGCTGTGCTGGTAGAGTGGAGGTTCTTCATAGAGGTCAGTGGGGAACAGTGTGTGGTGATTTCTGGGATATGCCTGATGCTGCAGTGGTGTGTAAAGAGCTGGACTGTGGAGAACCTGTAGATGCTCTGGGTGGTGCTCATTTTGGATCCGGATCAGGACCAATCTGGATGAGTGCGGTAGTATGTACTGGATCAGAGTCTACACTGAAAAACTGTGGGTCATCAGGATGGAGCCTACATGCCTGTACTCACAATTCTGATGCTGGTGTCATCTGTTCAGGTAAATGAGAAAAAAAATGGTTGCCCATGGATTTATTATGATGACACAAAGAATAATTGTGTTTTGTTTGGAAAACTGTGTTATGGTATTTAACTATCATGTGTTTTATTTGTTTTTGTGTACTGTGATTCATATTATTTAAACAGGTCATACACCACCTCGACTTGTTAATGGATCTCACCTGTGCTCTGGGAGGTTAGAGATACTTCATGATCAGACGTGGATGTCAGTGTGTGATGCTGCCTTTGACCAGCAGGATGCAGAGGTTGTGTGTAGAGAGCTGGACTGTGGGGCTCCTGTACAGGTGCTGGGAGCAGCTGCTTTTGACAAAGGTTCTGTTCAATATCATCATCACACAAACACAACTGCAGCAGTGACAATATGGGACTGATCTGCTCAGGTTAAGTATCAATATTCAGTGTCTCATCTTTTGATTTTTTGACACAATGCAACTTGTCAGCTGTGTCAGCATAATGTCAGCTGCATTATATGTTGTTTCTGAACCTCTAAGTTCTTTATACAGGTTATGCTGAGGTTCATCTAGTAAATGGTTCAGACTCCTGTTCTGGTCGAGTTGAACGTCAGTACTTCAGTAAATGGGGCACAGTGTGTGATGCATGCTGGGATATGAGAGCTGCCAGTGTCCTCTGTAGACAGCTGAATTGTGGGATTGCTGTGTCTGTTGTGGGATCAGACTGGTTTGGAGAGGGAAGTGGTGAAATCTGGGCTGATGTGTTTGATTGTGACGGGAATGAAACAAAACTCTCAGAATGTTCCATCTCTTCATGGAGTCGAGCTGAATGTTCTCACAGACGAGATGTTGGAGTCATCTGCTCTGGTGAGAGGATTTTATTAAAAAAAGTTAAGTACATAAATTACCTTGCAATATATTAATAAAATGCCACATCTTTCACTCAGGTTCCTCTCTGGCTCTTCATGATGGTCTGGTGCGGTTGTCTGGAGAGAGACAGTGTGAGGGGTTGGTGGAAGTTTTCATCCATCAGGTCTGGAGGAGAGTTCTGCTGGACTCCTGGAGTCTCACTGAATCCTCTGTGGTCTGCAGACAGCTGGGCTGTGGCTCTGTGCTGAACTTCTACGGCTCCTCTTCATCCAGTCCTGAACACAGTCATGAGTGTGTGACGGGCTTCCAGTGCTCTGGGAGTGAAGCTCATCTGGGGAACTGCAGCTCTCCACAAACTCTCAACTGCAGCTCCACACAACAGCTGTCAATCACCTGCCTTGGTGAGAGCAACAACATCTGGGCAGATATTTTTTAGAAGTTAGAGATGAATAATGTGTTTTACTTTCTCTGAATATCAGGTCGCGGGTCCATCAGGCTGGTGGGTTCTGGCGGAGACTGTGCAGGGAGGCTGGAGGTTTTTCACAGCGGCTCATGTGGGACAGTGTATGGAGGCTGGAGGTTTTTCACAGCGGCTCATGTGGGACAGTGTATGGAGGCTGGAGGTTTTTCACAGCGGCTCATGTGGGACAGTGTGCAGGTACCAGCCTGGTTTGGTCCTGGTTCTGGACCCATATGGCTGGATGAGGTGGAGTGTGAGGGGAATGAGACGTCCCTGTGGAGCTGCTCTTCTCCAGGCTGGGGAAAACATGACTGTCAACACAAGGAGGATGTAGGAGTCATGTGCTCAGGTAAACATGCTGCTAAATTGTTTACATTGAATTTAAATATACAGTTTTACACATTTCAACATTCATGTGTCCGTAGTGTTCACATTTTCCAATTTTGTGATTTTAAAATGTAATTTTTTTCATGTAGAATTTAAAGAGATCAGGTTAACTGAGGGCTGTGAAGGGAATGTGGAGGTTTTCTACAATGGATCCTGGGGTAATGTATGTTACAACAAGATGGACAGAGACACAGCAAGTCTGATTTGTCAAGAGCTGAACTGTGGAAGATCTGGTGATTTTTCTGATTCAGTATCAAGAGTGAAATCAGCTACTAACTGGCTGGATGAAGTGAAATGTCGACCACATGATTCAAATCTGTGGCAGTGTCCATCTTCATCCTGGGGACAGAATGACTGTGGTGAAGATGAATTGGCCAAAATCATCTGCTCAGGTAAAACAAATACTTTTTCCATCAGTAAACAATACAGTTATCCTTTAGCATTAATGCTTTGAGAAGTTGTATTGAATACATATTTTATAATATTTAATTGTTGTTACAGAACAGGAGAGTCATGAGTCTCCTCGCAGCTCTCTGACATGCTCCACATCTCTCCACCAGAGACAGTGTTCAGGTAAGTTCATTTAATGGAAAAAACATAAAAATTATGAATGTTCTATGCAACCCAAGGTAATGGTGTTCTGATATGAGGCACCAGCAGGATTTCATGTTGGAATATACAGTACAAATGATCACACATACTCCTGTGCAGACGCTGCTGTTCTGACAGTACTCTGCTGGTAATTAATGTGTCCTTTTTTGTGATGTGTGTGTTTTAGATCATGTTCCTCTCAGACTGAGTGGAGGGGAGGGCCGGTGCTCTGGGAGGCTGGAGGTGTATCATAACGCTGTGTGGGGCTCAGTCTGTGATGATCAGTGGGACATCAGCGATGCTCAGGTGGTCTGCAGGCAGCTGGGTTGTGGAGCAGCACTGAGGGCTGATGGGAATTCAGTCTTTGGTGCTGGTGAAGGTGTTGTGTGGCTGAACAGAGTCGAGTGCAGAGGGAATGAGATTCACCTGTGGGACTGTCCTCTCTCCCTGAAAAACCACACTGACTGCTCCCACAAAGAGCACGCTGGACTCACATGTGCAGGTCACAGTACAACACCAAGGAATATTATTTGTTTAAGCATTCAGAGCTAATAATATTTAAATCAATGTTTTGCATGATTTTGAATGTGTTTGTGTGTTTGACAGATTTGCCAGATTTGTCAGTGTCCTCTACTCCTGCCGCAACAACATCAGCTTCTCCTCCAGTTTTTCCTCCAGTGCGTTCAACATCAGTCTCTCCTCCACAAACTCCTCCAGCAGTGTCTCTCTCCATCCCCCCAGTGCTTGTGATTGTTCTGGGAGTTGTGCTCTTACTGTTCTTAGTGCCACTGCTTATACTGATTCAGCAGAACAGAGTGATGAGGAGAGGTAGGAGAGATCCAGAGACTATCATATTGTGTCTTATTCAGTGTGTGATCAGTCATGTGTTGTGAACTGACAGCAGGTTTGTCTGTCTACACTCACAGCTCTCTCTAAGAGGAGACACAGGACAACGACTGAGGCTGTTTATGAGGAGATTCAGCACAGACCCACTAATAGACACAGTCTCTTCACTCAGAGGGGTGAGTAAGCATTTAATGTGATGAGATAAAAAATGTAATAATTTCAGTAAGAGGGGTAAGTGGAGTAAATTGCATAGATTCATTTGTGGGATCTTGTGTGTATCGTTTGAATTATATTGGGTTAATTTTATAAGATCCAAAGGAAATGGGGATTTTGGTTGATTTGTGATTGTGAATGTGTCTGATGGTTCTACTTCTCCATAACAGGAAGTATCTTTTCTGAAGAACAGCATTCTGGGTATAAATATGCTGATGAGCTTGTTTCAGGTTAGAGACTGAAATATCATAATGTTACCTGCTACATACAGAAGCATGTATGTATGTTAAATTAATTAAAAGCATTCATGTAGCAAGTTATCTTTGCAGAGTTTAAATTATATAAACCATTCAGCACATAATTAAGATAAGGTATTATTATTAATAATAGCTCTAATAAAAATATCACTTCTTGTGTTTATTTGCCTCTTTATGATAAATCACTTATATTCATCATTTGGAAGTCGCTTTGGATTAAAGTGTCCGCTAAATGAATAAATGTGTCACACTATGCTGTATAAAAAGCACAAAGATGAAGATGAATGCTCCAAAAGTCTTTAATCCAACACACATGCAATACAAACACGGTGGCTTTAGCACAGATGTAACATGGACGAGACCAGACAAACTCAACTGAAACAGAGAGAACTAATACACAGTGCAAATGAGGTGATTAGTGGCAACTCAAATCATCAAATCATTAACTGTGACAACAAACACAGGCAGAGAAATAGTGCAAATGCAAAACAAATTCCAGACTGAATGACTCTGTGACAAAATGTAAATGTTTTTTTTTTTTAAAGCAAAATCTTCAGCAAGTGTCAAACCTGGCTACTATAATGACATCAGCACCACTAAAGGCCCAACAGGTCAGTGACTTTGTTAACTGATCACAGGATTTTACTTAATTTTATTACCTTTTTGGCATGTGAACAGTAAACTTAGTTTCTGCTATTTATTTCTGTACTATTCAAAAATTTAGAAGAGCAACAAATCACACCAGAGGATTATGATGATGTAATCACTGCTGGTTGGAGACATTGTGCTAAAGGTTCATTTTAAAATTATTTCTACAGGTTTAAACACTATGTATTTATATACATTTTGCTTATGCATTTGTACTGTTTCAAAATCCTAAATTTTGTACATTAATGAATGCATTTAATTTTTCACTATTTTGTTGTAGATGACTTACCAGAAAACTATGATGATGTCGTCACTGTACCACAGTTCTCCAATGATAAAGCAGGTGTGGGATTCAAATTATATACTTCTATATTGGCACAGTAAAGTGGCATGTAAAATATGAGGACTATTTTTATGTTGTTGATAATATACATTTTTATCAGTGGGTGTTGAGGAGGAGGAGAATGATGATGCAAAGGATGTCAGGGAGTATATGAGTGACATTGTATTGATACATTAATTTACTTACGTTTTCTAATAACAGACTATGATGATGTGGGGGAAGGGCCAGGAAAACAGCGAAGGACTGTGTAACTGAAACCACACCAACTGCCTCAAATCCTTTTAAAGCTTTTTAGTGGTCTGCAGAGTTTAAGCAATCCTATATACTGTTTGTTTTAGCTGCAATCTAATGTTTTATGTTATATTTTGTATTGAATTTTTTTCTGAGATTTTCTTTGCTTTGATCTTTGCTTTCATGGCCTTTTCAAAATGTTTGAATTTGCCTTTCCAGACATTTTTACACATTGTGCAGTTTTTGCAACTGCACTGGTTTAAACCATTTCTATCACATAGCCTTAGAAATTTGAGAGAATTAAAAAAAAATAAATAAAATTTCCCAACATTCAGTCAGTTTGTATATTGGACATTGTGCTATGATTTCAGATTCATGAGTCTGTAACAGTTCACAGCACCTTCAACTTAAATATCATTAAACATAATTTCTTTATTTGTAGACCAGTGTACTTTTATATTTTGCTAAAAGTTGTTGATATTTACTTTGGGATATACATTTACAAATAGCAGCTGTGAGCAATTATTGGAAAAGTATGTTCACTTTATGTCCTGCAGACAGGGTTTCTGGTAATCAGAAATACTGTGGCCATGATAGGACAGGCAGAGGTTTCAGAGACAGCCTCCTTGGCCATGATAATATAGGCAATGAGTTCAGATATGGCCTCTGTGGCATCAAAGGAGGGTCTGTAACCTTGGAAGCTAGTCCTAAACGCCTTGAGACAGCCCTAGTAGATTCTGGGATGGCAGCCATGATGACGGTGGACTCTGGTATGGCAGCCACTGCGGAACTGCATTCCCTCTCCGTGACTCCCACAGTAAAGGCAGAGCCACTCAGCTGCGATGCCAGGTTGATATAATATTCCAAAGTCCACTCAAGAGTCCCACAATGGCATGAGCAAGGCGAGCGGATCTGATAGCCCACCCAGAAAAAATTGTGAGGCATACCTCCTGCATATCAGTCAAATGTGCCAGCTCAGTGAAGTCCTGCATGTAGTTCTCAATTAGCCACACAATTTGAGTTTTTTTTAAATTCTTTTTTATTAAAAAGAAACAAGAGAAAGAATATAATCCAATCAAAGATTGCTAGATTTAGTAATCAGCTGTTCAACCTCAGATGTATTAGTAGGTAAAAAAGGTTGAGAACGGGTGGACAGACTGAGAAGGAGAAAAATCGAGGAGCAGATGGGGAAAAAGCTTGGTAGATGACACCAGTTTTATGTAGGAAAAATGACTGAAAAGTTTCCCAAAGGTCAATAGAGGCATTCGTTGTATAAGATTATGGTTTGAGAAATTTGTTAATCTCAGAGAAAAGAGTCTTGGGTTTACACTGCTTTGTTATTAACACTGGAAAGGTAGAGCGCGCAGTGTTGAGTGAGTCTTTATATTTCAAAACCTAGTCTGAATAAGTCACATGCAGCATGAGCATGAAGGTGAGGTTATAGTCGTTCAAGACGCCTACACTTAGATTTCATTACTCTGAGTTCCGGGGTGAACCATGAGGAGAAATGATCTGAAGGGACAAAAGAAAAATAACTTCAAACTTTTTCCATCAAGTAAATTACAAATGTTTATAACGTTACCTAAACAAGCTAGGTATACTGATACTTCAGCACTCCATGAATGGACAGCGACTCTAAAGTAGCACTTAAAGCTCGTACTCACGTGTTCATGTTCAGTACACGTAAAAACGTTACAAAAGATCGTAATCCCGCACGTAGAGAAGCTCTTAAGATCCGTCGTTATCGAGAAACGCGGCCCAGGACGTTTCCGTTGTGACAGATATGTACGTAGATGCCACATTCGACCGCTCCAGACAAAAATCAGTTTTCCAAGATGCCACACAATTGCACAGCCTCTGGTTGTAGAAACCGCAGGGATTTAAATTCCAGAAGAAATGGGATAATCTTTTACAGGTGAGAATGTATTGGTTTGTGTTTTCATATGTATTAAGCAAATATTACAGGTTTAAACTGTTGTAGCTTTTTTTAAACTAATTAAAAAATAATAGGATGCTGAGTTATAAAAAATAAAATAAAAATGACCAAATAACCCAAATCTAATTCTCGGGTCATGTAACTGATGTTTTCATAAAAAAGTACTGAAAAGTACTACTACTACTACTACTAATAATTATTATTACTATAATTCAATCAATCATAACAACACATTTATATGTGCATTACTTCCATCTTGTGGATGAATCATGTAGTGCAGCTATTAATGATTCTGACGCTAAATATACAATTATTCTGAATAATTAGACTATTTAACTTTTATCTTAAATCCAATAGCTATTAAAGTTTTTAAAGTGTTATTATTTATCCAGACCACTTCTAATGTCTCCAATAAGACAAAAATGCCCTGAGATATGAATGCAACCCAACAGAGGCTCTTTCTGAGTCAGTGAGTGCTCCTCTGAGGAGAACAGCATCCTTTGTGTCGTGTACGTAAACCGTTTTAATCAACGTTTCTGATTATTTTTATTAATCTGTGGTTCTCTGGTCTCCAAACAAATATGTGGCCAGGTCATGTTATTTGCTCTTTCTTTTTCGTGCTGATGAAAAAAAAAGTTGGTTTGCAGACTATTTTTAAAACCTGATAAAATGAAAGCTCATTTAAAATCAGATCATGAAAAAAATACACTTTTGAATTCTGTATGAGTGAGCGTTTCTGATAGGTAAATATTAAGTATGCCAATTTACAAAAAAGTAAAGTGATGATAATACTTTATATGGCATGTATTGTATATACAGTACCATGGTACACACAGTAAATGTTTCCCAGAGCTGGCTAGTAATGTAATCAGATTCCAAAAATCAAGTGCTCATAATTAGAGTATATTGCATTTTAAAAATGCTCATAATCAGATTACAGTTACTTTTTATGGATTACATTATTACATATTATTCACACAATGGCAGTAAATCCATCATAATTTATTGATTCTCCATAATTCATCTTTTTGCTCTCTCTCTCTCTCTTTTAAAATTTCCTCTCTAAAAATCCTACTTTGTGTCATACACTTAGTTTTGTCTATACTCACAATATAGAATGGTCATGTAAATGTCACGTAAATCAATTTTCAAACCGTGCTTCTGAATTTGGGTGAAAAAAGCGCCTCTCAAGCAATTAGACCATGTATGACACAAATAATAATGCAAGTTATTAAATACTGGTGATGTGTAGCTGTGAAACACTATAGCAGTCGTCATCATATCCAGAAGGACCTTAACTGTTGAATTGAGAAGTCTGATCTGAAAGACTTTGGCTGTGGACAAAACAAATAACATATTTCTGTTTTTAGTGTTCAAGTGTTCAAATAATTTATTTTACATGTTTATGATTTAAATAATTATTGGCTTTTTAATCAACTCACAAACCCACTGCAGTTCTTGCATTAAGCCCAGTTTAGGAAACCCTGAATTAATGTCATCTTTAATGCATTTTATGATGATGATATCAAAATTTTTAAAATATATTTTCTTTCTATTTGCTTTTTTATATCAATATGGTACGTTTAATGGTAGGCAGCCATGATGACGGTGGACTCTGGTATGGCAGCCACTGCGGAACTGCATTCCCTCTCCGTGACTCCCACAGTAAAGGCAGAGCCACTCAGCTGCGATGCCAGGTTGATATAATATTCCAAAGTCCACTCAAGAGTCCCACAATGGCATGAGCAAGGCGAGCGGATCTGATAGCCCACCCAGAAAAAATTGTGAGGCATACCTCCTGCATATCAGTCAAATGTGCCAGCTCAGTGAAGTCCTGCATGTAGTTCTCAATTAGCCACACAATTTGAGTTTTTTTTAAATTCTTTTTTATTAAAAAGAAACAAGAGAAAGAATATAATCCAATCAAAGATTGCTAGATTTAGTAATCAGCTGTTCAACCTCAGATGTATTAGTAGGTAAAAAAGGTTGAGAACGGGTGGACAGACTGAGAAGGAGAAAAATCGAGGAGCAGATGGGGAAAAAGCTTGGTAGATGACACCAGTTTTATGTAGGAAAAATGACTGAAAAGTTTCCCAAAGGTCAATAGAGGCATTCGTTGTATAAGATTATGGTTTGAGAAATTTGTTAATCTCAGAGAAAAGAGTCTTGGGTTTACACTGCTTTGTTATTAACACTGGAAAGGTAGAGCGCGCAGTGTTGAGTGAGTCTTTATATTTCAAAACCTAGTCTGAATAAGTCACATGCAGCATGAGCATGAAGGTGAGGTTATAGTCGTTCAAGACGCCTACACTTAGATTTCATTACTCTGAGTTCCGGGGTGAACCATGAGGAGAAATGATCTGAAGGGACAAAAGAAAAATAACTTCAAACTTTTTCCATCAAGTAAATTACAAATGTTTATAACGTTACCTAAACAAGCTAGGTATACTGATACTTCAGCACTCCATGAATGGACAGCGACTCTAAAGTAGCACTTAAAGCTCGTACTCACGTGTTCATGTTCAGTACACGTAAAAACGTTACAAAAGATCGTAATCCCGCACGTAGAGAAGCTCTTAAGATCCGTCGTTATCGAGAAACGCGGCCCAGGACGTTTCCGTTGTGACAGATATGTACGTAGATGCCACATTCGACCGCTCCAGACAAAAATCAGTTTTCCAAGATGCCACACAATTGCACAGCCTCTGGTTGTAGAAACCGCAGGGATTTAAATTCCAGAAGAAATGGGATAATCTTTTACAGGTGAGAATGTATTGGTTTGTGTTTTCATATGTATTAAGCAAATATTACAGGTTTAAACTGTTGTAGCTTTTTTTAAACTAATTAAAAAATAATAGGATGCTGAGTTATAAAAAATAAAATAAAAATGACCAAATAACCCAAATCTAATTCTCGGGTCATGTAACTGATGTTTTCATAAAAAAGTACTGAAAAGTACTACTACTACTACTACTAATAATTATTATTACTATAATTCAATCAATCATAACAACACATTTATATGTGCATTACTTCCATCTTGTGGATGAATCATGTAGTGCAGCTATTAATGATTCTGACGCTAAATATACAATTATTCTGAATAATTAGACTATTTAACTTTTATCTTAAATCCAATAGCTATTAAAGTTTTTAAAGTGTTATTATTTATCCAGACCACTTCTAATGTCTCCAATAAGACAAAAATGCCCTGAGATATGAATGCAACCCAACAGAGGCTCTTTCTGAGTCAGTGAGTGCTCCTCTGAGGAGAACAGCATCCTTTGTGTCGTGTACGTAAACCGTTTTAATCAACGTTTCTGATTATTTTTATTAATCTGTGGTTCTCTGGTCTCCAAACAAATATGTGGCCAGGTCATGTTATTTGCTCTTTCTTTTTCGTGCTGATGAAAAAAAAAGTTGGTTTGCAGACTATTTTTAAAACCTGATAAAATGAAAGCTCATTTAAAATCAGATCATGAAAAAAATACACTTTTGAATTCTGTATGAGTGAGCGTTTCTGATAGGTAAATATTAAGTATGCCAATTTACAAAAAAGTAAAGTGATGATAATACTTTATATGGCATGTATTGTATATACAGTACCATGGTACACACAGTAAATGTTTCCCAGAGCTGGCTAGTAATGTAATCAGATTCCAAAAATCAAGTGCTCATAATTAGAGTATATTGCATTTTAAAAATGCTCATAATCAGATTACAGTTACTTTTTATGGATTACATTATTACATATTATTCACACAATGGCAGTAAATCCATCATAATTTATTGATTCTCCATAATTCATCTTTTTGCTCTCTCTCTCTCTCTTTTAAAATTTCCTCTCTAAAAATCCTACTTTGTGTCATACACTTAGTTTTGTCTATACTCACAATATAGAATGGTCATGTAAATGTCACGTAAATCAATTTTCAAACCGTGCTTCTGAATTTGGGTGAAAAAAGCGCCTCTCAAGCAATTAGACCATGTATGACACAAATAATAATGCAAGTTATTAAATACTGGTGATGTGTAGCTGTGAAACACTATAGCAGTCGTCATCATATCCAGAAGGACCTTAACTGTTGAATTGAGAAGTCTGATCTGAAAGACTTTGGCTGTGGACAAAACAAATAACATATTTCTGTTTTTAGTGTTCAAGTGTTCAAATAATTTATTTTACATGTTTATGATTTAAATAATTATTGGCTTTTTAATCAACTCACAAACCCACTGCAGTTCTTGCATTAAGCCCAGTTTAGGAAACCCTGAATTAATGTCATCTTTAATGCATTTTATGATGATGATATCAAAATTTTTAAAATATATTTTCTTTCTATTTGCTTTTTTATATCAATATGGTACGTTTAATGGTAAGTTTAAAACAAGTTAGATAAAAAAGTTATCTAAAAAGAAGTCAGAATACATTACCTAAAATGAATTACGCTACTAACTACAGTTTTCATCATGTAATCAGTAATCAGTAATGGACTACAAGTAATAATTGATGACGGACCATTGAATTATTCGAAAATAATACACACTCAAGATGGTGATGCGGCCACAACGTGAAGTGCTATATGTATTTGTCAACATTTATATATTTTCACATTTATTCAAATGTGACATAAATAAATATATAAATAATACATAAATATGAAAATGAATAAATGTATAAATAAATAAATGAAAAATAAATGTTGAAAAAATACAATTATACATACATAATGAAATATACGTAGAAATTCTCATTTATTTGTTCACATTTTATTTATTTAGTATATTTATATACTCATTTATTTATTATTTTGGCAACTTTGGCATTTCACATAATAGAGGCTGTCCTGTAATACTTTCACTAGTGAGAAGTTCCTCATGCAACAACACAGGGGCAAGACCCTTGGCTGCTCCTCTTTACAATAAGAAGTGTTTTTCTGCCATCTTCTGGACAAATGCAGCATCGCAGTATTAAACGCACAAGATTACTGCTGTTATTTTATTCAAAAAAGGTAAACCCAATTAAAGTAGATAATATTTAATTTAATAAAAACTCATCAAAATAGCTTTAGCAACAATATAGTTTATACTATGGTGTAATCATATTTTTATTGTTTTCTTGGTCAGAATAAAAGAACAAATTAGTAAAATCCATTAATTCATTCAAATTAGTCATGAGAAATTGGTTCTAGTAAGTTTGTGTAAGTGTTTGAAGTGTTCAGACTTACAGAAGTCAGTCATCAGTGCTTGTATCTGCTGTGTTCAGGTTCAGGTTTGATGCTGAATATAAGCTGCAGTGTTTCTGTATCAATCTGCTTTAAGTTTATTGTGACTTTATCTCCACACTGACTTATGACTGACACGAGTCTGTCCTCAGTGAAGTGTCGCTTCACGCTGGAGGAGGAGTCCCGCTCATCAGCGCTGACACTTTATTGATATATATGGAGAAAATAAAAATGCTGCTTTCTGATTTGTCACTGATTGTGTTTGATGATTTCCTCTGTTGTGTCTAATAAGGTAAGAGTGAGTGTCATTGGCAGCTGTGAGTCCCTCTCTCTCTTTAGGGGACTGACAGGAGCCAGTTTCTTCAGTGTGTTTGAGGAGCAGAGGACAAACTTGTGATGTGTTCTGAGTTGATGAAGTAGCGTGTGTCGAGCTAAAGAAGATGGAGAACTGTCTGATGCTGATGTTTCTGTGTTATATGGTAAAACTCATCAGCTCTGGTAGGTACATACTGAGGGTCAAGAGGTAATCTATTTTTAAAATGTGCTGAAATAATTTACATGTAATGTTACACTTTACTACATATTACAGTATATTTGGTATGTACAACATATATTGTATGTTCACTAATTGTCTCTCTCTCTCTCAGGTGTAGACAGTGTGAGTGTGAGGTTGGTGAATGGTAATAATCCCTGTGCTGGTCGAGTGGAGGTTTATAAAGATGGTCAGTGGGGAACAGTGTGTCATTATTACTGGGATATTGCTGATGCTGAAGTGGTGTGTAGAGAGCTGGAATGTGGGACGGCTGTAAAAGCGACATATGATGCTCACTTTGGACAAGGATCAGGACCAATTTCAATGGCTTATGTATACTGTAGTGGATCAGAGACTGCACTGAAAGACTGCAGGTCACAGAGCCAGTATGCACAGCGCTGTAATCATAATGAAGATGCTGGTGTCATCTGTTCAGGTAAACTGCTCCAAACCTCAGCCTGTTATTTCATCACTCTCTTTCATAATTCTCACTCAAGCAACATACTTATGCTGGTGTTTACAAACATCACTATCAATCTTATGAAACAGGCAGTCTGTTTAATTGTTTTGTTCATAATAATATATTCATCCTAATTCCTTACTATCTTAAAATAAACTATGACGAAGAGAATCACTATTAAATATGTCATGTCTTTTGCATATTCAGACAGTCTGATCTGACAATCTTATTTACGTTGTTTATTTAATGAAGATTATAAATTGATGGATGGAAAATAAAATTACATATCTACGGTGAGCGGGAGGGACATGTTTACGAGTTTAATGCGTAAACAACCCCGCGTGACCATAGCAACCTGGGATTATCAAAGATTGATAAAACATTTTTATCCATCCCGCAGTCTTGTAAATCCATTAACTGATCGTGTCTTTTTATTTAATATATTTGTATTTTATTATTATTATTATTATTATATAACTGTAATATATATATATAAAAAAGCTAACAGCTTCTCTAATATTTTTGTATTCTAGCCTATCTATTTGTTTTCTTTTTATTTATTATACAATTAACAAAAGCAAAAAGGCCTCTTAACATGTACTAAACATGAGTGGAATTTACACCGCAGCGCCCCCACACCTTGATGCTCATGAAAATAATAGCATGTATAGTTATCTTTATTGAAGTTAATTAGGTTTAATTTTACACATAATAATCCACGATGATCACATTACACAAAACTGAAATTGCAGCCTGTTATTTCATCACTCTCTTTCATAATTCTCACTCAAGCAACATACTTATGCTGGTGTTTACAAACATCACTATCAATCTTATGAAACAGGCAGTCTGTTTAATTGTTTTGTTCATAATAATATATTCATCCTAATTCCTTACTATCTTAAAATAAACTATGACGAAGAGAATCACTATTAAATATGTCATGTCTTTTGCATATTCAGACAGTCTGATCTGACAATCTTATTTACGTTGTTTATTTAATGAAGATTATAAATTGATGGATGGAAGATAAAATTATCTACATACGGTGAGCGGGAGGGGACATATTCGGTTTTGTCGCGGCCACGAGATTAACGACATTCTTATGTTTACGAGTTTAATGCGTAAACAACCCCGCGTGACCATAGCAACCTGGAATTATAAGAAATGGATAAAATATTTTTCTCCATCCCGCAGTCTTGTAAATCCATTAACTGATCGTGTCTTTTTATTTAATATATTTGTATTTTATTATTATTATTATATAACTGTAATATATATATATATAAAAAGCTAACAGCTTCTCTAATATTTTTGTATTCTAGCCTATCTATTTGTTTTCTTTTTATTTATTATACAATTAACAAAAGCAAAAAGGCCTCTAACATTAGCTTGCTCTATTCTTTTTCTATTCTATCTGTTTTCTTTTTATTTATTATATAATAATAAAAAAAAACCTTGCTACATGTACTGCGTTAAGCTAACTGAGACTTGTTATAGCACTTGCATATCATTGCTCTTTTGTTGATTTTGATTACCTCTTAACATGTACTAAACATGAGTGGAATTTACACCGCAGCGCCCCCACACCTTGATGCTCATGAAAATAATAGCATGTATAGTTATCTTTATTGAAGTTAATTAGGTTTAATTTTACACATAATAATCCACGATGATCACATTACACAAAACTGAAATTGCACGTCAAAATAACACATTGTCAATATTTTTTGAGACCCCCCAAAATTTCACAAATCACGTTTTCAGGGGAGCCCATGTCTTATTAAGGGGAGCCGAGCTCCCCCTAGCTCCCCCGTAGTTCGCACCCTGGTCTACTGTAAACGCCTGACAATTATACCAATAAAGTTTTGACTTTATGATTGTATTTATGATCGTATGTGACGTGTTGTTTTTCATTTACAAATGAAACTATGCGAATGATTAATTCATCAACGAAAATGTATAATTACAGTCTATTAATTAGCCGAAATTAGCCGAAATATACCTTTAAACTGCACTTCCATTACAAATTCCCGTTGGCTCAGTCATATCATAATCAAAGCTTTATTGGTATGTCAGGCATTTACAGTAGGCTATTATTTACAAAACTGTTCAGAACGTAAAGAGATCGAAATGGAGGGAAAATAAATCAAATACATAACGAATATAATAATAATAATAATAATAATAATATACAAATATTAAGGGGAAAAGACGATCAGTTAATGGACTTACACGACTGGGATGGAAAAAAATGTTTTCTTGTAGGCCTATTTTATTTTATGTACTTTATTACTTTATGTAACATTTATTCATGATAAACTTCATTCGAATGCTGTCTTGCGCGCATAGGCTACAGTCCGATAGCCTAGGCCTGTGGTTAATACAGTAATTAAATAATGTAATAATTTCTATAATAATTAATATAATATTTTCTTAATTCAAAATAAAATATTAATAAATCCATCTCTGATAATCCCAGGTTTCTATGGTCACGCAGGTTTGTTTACGCAATAAACTCGTGGCCATGACAAAACTAAGTGAAGTGAACATATAAAATTATTGCAGATTAAGTGAATTAATTAAATAAAAAATGTCAAAATTTAATGCCAGTTTTCTCTAGTCCTCCAGCTGAGTAGAGATGTTTAATTAATAATCTGTTCTTATATTTCAACAACTCAGAAAAAGGACTTCGACTTGTGGACGGGCTTCACCTGTGCTCTGGGAGAGTGGAGGTGATTTATGGGAACACATGGGGCACAGTGTGTGACGCTGCCTTTGACCAGCAGGATGCAGAGGTTGTGTGTAGAGAGCTGGACTGTGGGGCTCCTGTACAGGTGCTGGGAGCAGCTGCTTTTGACAAAGGAGACAGTGTTTGGTCAGAGGAGATTCAGTGCAGAGGAAATGAATCTCAGATACACGTCTGTTCACGATCATCTTCACAGATGCACAGCTGTTCACATGACAATGATGTGGGAGTGATCTGTTCTGGTTGAGTATTAACATTTGGCAGCTCTTTAGATGAATTGCATACATATGTAATACACTGCTGTTGTTTTGTTCAATTATCTTAACTCTAGTTTCATACTGTTTAAAAGAGCTGTCAGTTGTTTGTCCAGGTTACACAGATCTCAGGCTGGTAAACAGTTCAGACTCTTGTTCAGGAAGAGTGGAGCTTCGGTTCCTCAAAGAGTGGGGCACAGTGTGTGATGCATGCTGGGATATGAGAGCTGCCAGTGTCCTCTGTAGACAGCTGAATTGTGGGATTGCTGTCTCTGTTGTGGGATCAGTCTGGTTTGGAGAGGGAAGTGCTAAAATCTGGGCTGATGTGTTTGATTGTGACGGAAATGAAACAAAACTCTCAGAATGTTCCATCTCTTCATGGAGTCGAGCTGAATGTTCTCATAGACGAGATGTTGGAGTCATCTGCTCTGGTGAGCACATTCACACCACACTGAAGTCATGGGTTTCAGAATAAAACTACACATTTGAACAAATGTAGTATATTTTAGATAAATATTGAATGACAAATAAATACTCTCTCCAGGCAGTAAAGCTCATCAGGGGAACTGCAGCTCTTCACAAACTCTTAACTGCAGCTCCACACAACAGATGTCAGTAAAGAACTTTGGTGAGAAAATCAACATCTGGGCAGATTCTTTAGTTATTAGTGATCAAAAATGTGCATGTACAATCGCTGTTTTTCTTTCTCTGAATATCAGGTCGCGGGTCCATCAGGCTGGTGGGTTCTGGGGGAGACTGTGCAGGGAGGCTGGAGGTTTTTCACAGCGGCTCATGGGGGACAGTGTGTGATGACTCCTGGGATATTAAAGATGCCCATGTGGTGTGCAGACAGCTGCAGTGTGGAGTGGCCCTCAGTAACCAGCAGGTACCAGCCTGGTTTGGTCCTGGTTCTGGACCCATATGGCTGGATGAGGTGGAGTGTGAGGGGAATGAGACGTCCCTGTGGAGCTGCTCTTCTCCAGGCTGGGGAAAACATGACTGTCAACACAAGGAGGATGTTGGAGTCGTGTGCTCAGGTAAACAATAATGTAAATAATTATTTTATTTAAACTTTTAAAGTTTTCTAAACTACTCACTCGTCCACACCGGAGCATAACACTACTGAATCTACAGCACAAAACACGCAGCGTGACCAATCTAACCCGATTCCCAAACTAAACTCTAATCAGTCAGTTCTTTGTAGTGAATCACAGACATACAGCTTACAGCTAACTTTGAGATTTAAATCAGTGTAGTTACAGACTGGATGTTCATATGACAAAGTGCAGCTAAAGATATGCATTTTGCATTTGGTCAGTATTAGTATTTTATATATTAATGAATTAAGTATTTTTGTTTGTTTGTTCAGTGTTGTTTTTTATATAAAAATGAATGGAACTATTAATGAACTGTAATCGTTAGGATTAATCAGAATAATTGAAGCCTGTATAATTCAAATCCCTAATTAAAACACTGTCATTCCGTGAGAGTTGAGGTTGATTCTCATCCTTTTCCATCTAGAGTTTAAAGAGATCAGGTTAACTGAGGGCTGTGAAGGGAATGTGGAGGTTTTCTACAATGGATCCTGGGGTAATGTGTGTTACAACCAGATGGCCAGAGACACAGTGAGTCTGATCTGTCAAGAGCTGAACTGTGGAAGATCTGGCAGTGAACCCATTTATTCAGAGGGACTGAAGTCTCATAATTGGTTTGATAAACTTAATTGTCGACGACATGACTCCACTTTATGGCAGTGTCCATCTTCACCCTGGGGACAGAATGACTGTGATAATGAAGTGGCCAAAATCACCTGCTCAAGTGAGATGATATTAACTGATTTAAGATGGTTTGAAATTGTCATGTTTTGTTTGTTTAAATATGATTATTTTTGTCTTAATGTTAAATGTCTTAATTATTTTGTTCTATTCAGTGGTAAATGAAATTTGAACATGTTTTATTCTCAGAGGATCAGACACGTGAGTCTCCTCAGAGTCTTCTGACATGTTCTACCTCACCATCTCCATACAAGAGACAGTGTTCAAGTAAGTTTATTTTGATTTTATTTATTATTATCACAACTTAAACTTTGTTGTGGATGTTGCTGATCAGTGCTGGTTGATGTGTGTGTTTTAGATCATGTTCCTCTCAGACTGAGTGGAGGGGAGGGCCGGTGCTCTGGGAGGCTGGAGGTGTATCATAACGCTGTGTGGGGCTCAGTCTGTGATGATCAGTGGGACATCAGCGATGCTCAGGTGGTCTGCAGGCAGCTGGGTTGTGGAGCAGCACTGAGGGCTGATGGGAATTCAGTCTTTGGTGCTGGTGAAGGTGTTGTGTGGCTGAACAGAGTGGAGTGCAGAGGGAATGAGATTCACCTGTGGGACTGTCCTCTCTCCCTGAAAAACCACACTGACTGCTCCCACAAAGAAGGTCACAGGAAACACTGGAGTAGTATTTATTTTATTATCTTTTTATGTATTCAAGACAATCATGAATTTGAATGTGTTTGTCTGTTTTGACAGATTTGACAGATGTGTCAGTGTCCTCTACTCCTGCCACAACATCAGCTTCTCCTCCAGTGCGCTCAACATCAGTCTCTCCTCCACAAACTCCCCCAGCAGCGTCTCTCTCCGTCCCCCCAGTGCTTGTGATTGTACTGGGAGTTGTGCTCTTACTGCTCTTAGTGCCACTGCTTATACTGATTCAGCAGAACAGAGTGATGAGGAGAGGTAGGAGAGATCCAGAGACTGTCATATTGTGTCTTATTCAGTGTGTGATCAGTCATGTGTTGTGAACTGACAGCAGGTTTGTCTGTCTACACTCACAGCTCTCTCTAAGAGGAGACACAGGACGATGACTGAGGCCGTTTATGAGGAGATTCAGCACAGACACAATCACTTCACTCAGAGGGGTGAGACATGAGCCATCAATCTCATTTAATAGCATTAATAAGAGTCTGTCAGACAGATGATGTTCATCTATTATTAGTCCTGTTAAACCTCCTGCTTCAAACCACAGAATTCCTGACAGAAAACCACAGAGCTGCAGGTGCATGTTTATACGTGTGTGTGTGCACATGCGTGCACGTTTGTTTGTCTCTGAAACCTTTCGATTACAGTATATTCTTGTCTTATAAACTGGTCATATCATTCACTACATGATTAAAATGGTAATGGCCTCATGGCAACAGCAATAACATTTTATTTCTAAAACTATTTTGTTTTGATGTTGAAGAGAGGGTGAATGAAACACCACTAGAATACTATGATGTCATAGCTGGTGGACTGAATCCAGATCATGAGACAGGTGCAGTTCTGTACTATAGTAATTAGTACATAATTGTAATGTGTGTGTGTGTGTGTGTGTGTGTGTCAGTGAGTATCTCTTCCTGTGAGTATTTTTAGATTGTCATAAGGAGGAATGGGTTCATGTGAGGATACTTGTGTGTTTGTTAATAGGCCCAAAAAAGGGAGTTCTGCCTATGATGCTTTCTGGGGCAGTCGTGGCCTAATGGTTAGAGAGTCGGACTTGTAACCCGAAGGTAGTGGGTTTGAGTCTCAGGTCCGGCAGGAATTGTTGGTGGGGGGAGTGAATAACTAGCGCTTTCTCCACTTTCAATACCACGACTGAGGTGAGACACCTAGGTGAGACCCTTGAGCAAGCCACTGAACCCCCAACTGCTCCCCGAGTGCCGCAGCATTGGCTGCCCACTGCTCCGGGTGTGTGTTCATGGTGTGTGTGTGTTCACTACTGTATGTGTGCACTTAGATGGGTTAAATGCAGAGCACAAATTCCGAGTATGGGTCACCATACTTAGCCACACGTCACTTTCACTTTACTAACGCAGAGATAAACCTTAACAGACAGTATGAGGGGTAGAAGGACTAACACTTTAAATGTGAATAATTAATATTTGTGTTGTGTTGCCTCCTTTATGATTCAAAGGAAATGAGGATTCAGTCTGTTTGTAATGATGAACATGTTTCTGACTGCTCTGCTCTTCTTTAACAGGGAGTCTCATCTCTGAAGAACTGCATTCTGGGTATGAAGATGCTGATGAGCTTCTCTCAGGTTAGAGAGATGAAGCACACATTCACTCCACATTACACTCAAATCCTTTTTAAAGAATGCATCTAGATAAATAAATAAATACATTCTGTTACACATTTGATCAATGACTTAATACTATTCAAATACTCTTGCTCAATTATATATTAACAGTTTTCTCTCCTTTTTAGCAAAAGAGTTCAAGACTTCATATTATGATGATGTCACTAATGGCAGCGGCCTAAAAGGTCAGTGACTTTTCTAATTGATCACATGATTCATTACCAAATATACATTCTCAGTCTCATGACCTGCAGCAAGAAGATATTTTGGCTTTTGTATCCAAACATATTGTGTGTTGATGCAGAAGAGATGCTGAAGGAAATCACACCGGGATACTATGATGACGTCATCACTGATGGACTGAAACCAGATCGTGAGACAGGTGTCCCTCTCTTACTCTACAACAGCATATAATATACTTTTAAATTAAAATATTACAGTATGTTTAAGATAGATATTTCAGATTTGTTCTGAATGTAATGAATGTGTGTTTGTGATGAATGTGTGAATTTGTAGAAGACACACCTGAGAGCTATGATGATGTCATGACGAGCAGCCAGAACTCTGATTTAAAAAAAGGTGTTTTACTTTATCAGTTAAAATAATAATAATAATAATAATATTCCTTTAAAATCAAGATCGTTACTGATAATATTTTAAATTACTGCCTTAATGGGCATTTTGGCTTATATTTAAATTGACTCATATTTTTATGTGTAGTGGACGCAGAGAATTATGATGATGTCATCGTTAATAGACCGAGCTCTCAAGGTGTAACAGGTGAGATGCACAGAACATTTTTTATCGCCCTTTTCATGTTTACATGAGTATCAGACATTCGCTCTGTGTAATCAAGTCACTGAAGGGAAAATGAATCCTTCAAATGAGAACGTATTTTATAAACTGATATGAGATGTTTTTATGTCATTCTTGATCAGAGGGAGTTCAGGAGGAGTATGACGATGTGATGAGTGTCAGTGAAGATGTGAGAAACCTGTTGGGTAAGTTATTGTAACCCTTTTGTTCTCATTATATTAACATCTTTATTTATATTTTAATATTCTTTAAAATTTTCCTTTTTTTAATATTAAACATTTGACATGATTTTTTTAAATAACAGATTATGATGATTTGGAAAAGGAGTCCAACAAAGAAGATAGCCTAATGATTACATCCACTGCCTCGGTTCAAAACATTTGAACTCTTAAAAGCTTTGAGTGATATTGTTATTGATATGTCAAATTTCAGGTTTTTGTGTTTCTCCCTTTTTTGTATTAAAACTTCTATGCCTTTGTGAGATTTTGTTGTATTGTTTTTTTGGCCTTGTTAATAGCAATACATTTTTGTGTGTATTTCAATAAGACATTACACAGCCCCTGAATCCAAATGTCTGGTCTTACCTTTTAATGCACAACTGTGGTGACAATTTTAGACATCCTAAACATAAGCCCAAATGACCATCTGTGATTTAACAGCCCTCAGCATCGTCACAGCAAGTAGTGAACACATAATCGTTGTCATACAAATCTGAAAGCAAGCAGTTGCGACAAGCAAGCCACCCATCTAAAGCAGATGCAGAAAAACGTTCGCAAAAGAACCCGACTGTAAGTGCATTAACATTATAGTCTTAACTCTTAAATAACGCCTTTCATATTTCAAGTTTTTCCTAAATTTTCCCGAGAAGTCTCAGGTGTAAAGGTATAACGGAAGTACAGATACACTGCTTTGCGGGAAAGCGGAAGTTAGCTGACGTCACTGTGAAAAGGGCCTATTACAGACAGGTGTGTTTGATCAGAGTTGGAACTGACAATAGGCTTGTTTGAGATGAGCAAAATCTGTGCAGAACCGATCACCGCGAGATGCATGCCGGTTAGAAAAGTGTCCGAGTTATGTCCGACTTGCTCTGATGTCATGCTGACGTGTGCCAAAAAACTCTCGTGACGGCGAGGCGGCTGTGTCGGACTGTGCAGTCGAGCGCAAGTTGCTCTCCACCGACTGCTGATCAAAAGCATGATGGGAAACGACTGACTGACGACACAGCTTAATGCTCATTGGTTCAGACAACCGTGATGCTGCGTTCTCGTCTAAAATGTTTTTTTTTTTTTTCTGATTTTATGTGATTATGTATTTAAATTATGCATGAATGTTCCCAAACACAATGACAGTGCGATCTCTGTGTGAGATGTGTGATTGTTGTCATATTTCTATAAAAATCTAAAATACATGTTTGTATTAAAGTAAAAATGGATGATAAACACACCTTTCGTATGGAATTAAATAGTAAGCACTTTGAGTGTCTTGTTCATCATATTTATTTTCATATAAAAGCAACAGAACTGAAATTATATCATGTTTATTAGCAACACAGCATGTAAGTGAGAATAACACGATATCCGTCTTTGATCTCGTTGGTATCTGCTCACTTCGAGAGGTCAGAACTGTCCGTCTTGCCTGCGCTTATTTCACTCCTCCCCTCACTGCAGCCGCCTACTCTCACCTACATTTCAGGCAAGGCGAGGCGCATCTCAAACAAGCCTA